CTACTACTACTACTACTACTACTACTACTACTACTACTACTACTACTACTACTACTACTACTACTACTACTACTACTACTACTACTACTACTACTACTACTACTACTACTACTACTACTACTACTACTACTACTACTACTACTACTATTACTACTGCTGCTACTACTACTACTACTACTACAAGTACTGCTACTGCTACTGCTACTACTACTACTACTACTACTACTACTACTACTACGACTACTACTACTACTACTACGACTACTGATAGTACCACTACTACTACTGATGCTACGACTGTTCGTAATATTATAATTGTTATTGTTACGCATAGCAATAATATTGCTATTGTTCTTGTTCTATTAGTACGATCCTCCTCCTCATCCTCCTCCTTTTCCTCCTTCTCCTCCTCCTCCTCCTCGTTCTGCTGGGGGCGCGCCCCGCGGCTGCAATGCGCTCGCCAGGCAGCGCCATGTCGAGACGCCCCGCCCGCAAGCCCGCACCGGAAGCACAAAGGGGCTCGCAGCGCCCCCGCTGGAGTGGCGCGCGGTGTGCGAGCAGTTCGATCCACGAGCGGCGAATGTATCCATGTCCACACTCTCACAGTATGGATTGAGGGGCGCGATCCCGTGGATACGGGGCCTCATGGATACGCTCCGCGCGCCGCATACGCAAAAAACGCAACGTGTCCATGGGGTCGTGGCCCAGGGGCCCCGCCCGCGAGGCCGTGGATACGGATAGCGCCGACGTGTGCTCGTCCACCCAGGCCCTTCGATACGACGCTGGCGGTGCGATGAGACACGACACAGGCCGCGCGCTATCGGCGTCGGCAGTGCCGAGCGGAGCACGCAAACACGCTGGGCAGACACACGCGAGCGAAGCGTCACGCCCCCATGAATTCGGCGCCCACGAAACCTGCTTGCGGGCCCTCGCTCCCCTACCCGAGCCGTGCCCGTGCCGGCACCTGCCCCACACTCGTCGTCGCGGGCCGTGCTTCGGAGCCGACGACGCTGTGCTGTGCTCTTTGTTCCCCACCGGGTCACCGGAGCTCCGTCTTCGCACCGCACGGGGCCACAACCAAGCCTGCGTCGGCACTCTCGCGCCCCTCTCCCCCGTGCACAGGGACAACTGTCCTGGGCCCAGACTGAAGGGGCCCTGGCACACACAAATAAATACACACAGATAACAGGATTCCCCATATTTTCCCTATATTTTCTGGGTTTTTGTCTTCCCCCCCCACTTCCAATATTTTTCCATATTTTCCTTGGGATCGACGATGAATCGTGTCTGCGTGTTTTTCCCCCCCCCTGACAGACAGCGAAGCACGGTGCACGATGCTCTTCGCGCCCCCGCCGGTGCCCCAGGTCGTGGCGCCGTCTGGGGCGCAGAACGGCAGAAGAGAGCAGAGTGCCGCGCGCCCCACCGCGCGTCGGCGGCGGCGCCATCTGCGCAGTGCTGCACGCGTCGACGCCAGATCTTCGGGGGAGCACTGCGGTGGCGTCCCCGCTCTCACACCTCTGGGCGAGGGCCGCCCGGGAGGCCCAGAAAGGCGAGAGCGGGGAGGTGGGGAGTTCGGTGGAAACTCGTGGGAGCCTCCCAGACCACTTTGCCAGCTCTTGCGAATCGACGCTAATCGACGCTCGTCGACGCTAATCGACGCTGAATCAACGCTAAATCGTCGCTAATCGACGCTCACCGACGCTAAGTCGGCGCTTTCCCGTCGACTCCCAGACGCCAATCGTCGCCAAAGACAGAATCACGAGGGTACACAACGCCCCCGTGAGTTGGTACTGAAGTGGGGAGGGTGGGGGAGTGGCATCGGCATCTGCCCCTCCTCCGAATGGGTGCGCAGCACCTGCCGCATCGCGCAGGGCCCCAGAGCAGGGCACCAGGGCATCCAAGGGGTCCTCGCGGGCCGTGCACCTCGCCTCGAGGGGCACGCGACGCGCGGCGCTCTCCCGCAGGCTGGGCGCGACGGGGCGACGGGACCCCCCGGAGGTCACCGCCCCCCCTCGAGGCGCAGGACACCTCGAGGGGAAGGGCGCCGCCTCGGACCGTGCCGTCGGCTCGCCTGCCGCCCGCTGGAAGCACCGACCGAGGAATGCGCCGTGGCCCCCGGGAGGACAGAGCCTACAGCCAGCAAGCTTGGCCAGCGAGTTCACGCCGAGGGTCGGCAAAGTCCTCGGCGAGCCTTGTTTTCAGTCCGTGTCACGTACCCTCACCGAGTACAGCAGGAGAAAAGCATTGATCGTTGTTATTGTTGTTATCGTGATCGCTGTCGATCGTTGTCGATCGTTGTTATCGTTGTTGTCGTTGCCCGCTGGAAGAGCCGAGGAATGTGCCGTGGCCCTCGGGGGAGCAAAGCCAGTTTCCAGCGCCCCCACCGCGGAGCCTCCTCGCTCTTGAGGAAGAAAAAACGCCATCAACAGAAACTGGTGGCGATCCGCGCGGAGTTCCTGGATCCACGTTATGGCCCCCCTCCCTGGCGCGCGGAGCGCGCCAGGGACAGCGCCGGAGGCGCCGCTAGGGGTGTCCCAGCGCGGATCCAAGAAATCCGCGCGGAGCGCCAAGAAATCCGCGCGAATCGAAGAAGCAAAAACGGCATGACACTGCATGTCGTTTGTGTTTCTTCGACTCCGGTGCCCCCACCGCGGAGCCTCCCGGCTCGTGTGCTGGCGCCCTCTGCCCTCCGCCCGCAGCCTTCTGGACCGGGTCCGGCCCCGACAGGGGCGACGGCGCCGCCCGACCTGCAGGCCTGGCGCTCGAGAGAGCTTCCATCTTTGGAGGCCTGGAAATAGGCACCAACACCAAGACAGGGGGCTGCCTCCACAGGGGAGAGGTGATCCTAGCTTTCGGTGTGGGTGGTAATAGTTCGGTCACCTTGAAGCCAGAATATTACCACCATCACCGAGATCGGGATCTTCTTTCCTCGGTGGAGGAGCACCGCCGATATTGGTGTCCTCTAGGCCTGCGACATCTGGAAGAAGGGCCGCGCCCACGCTGACCAGGGACGTCGCATCCGCACCGCGGCCATCCACGCCAGGCTCGAGGACCCACTGCTGGAAAGGCAGGACCGCGTGCCCTCCGTAACCCGCGACATCGACACGGACAGGAGGCACCAGACACCGGGCACCACAAAAGCACATCGACACTGTGTGACCACCTGAGGGGCGGACAGTCCACGCCGTTCGTGCAGCCCTCCAGATGGAACCTTGGGCGGACCCCCACGACTCTCAGAGCACTCCCTCCCGGCACTCCTGAATCGTCCCCCAGTGCCTCCTCCCAGCGCCCCCACGACGCCCCCGATGGCGGTCAGCGCAAGAGGGGGGAGAGAGAGGCAGGTGTGAGAGGGGAGGAGAGGTACATGCAGCAGGGAAAGGAAATGAGAGAGGCAGAGAAGCGGGGGGAAGGATGAGAGGAGGCAGGAGCGGGCAGAGCTGCGGGAAAAATGGAGGGCAAGACACAACCAGGAGAGCAAGATCAGGCGCGGGAGAAAAAACAACTAGCCTTGCGAGCCCAACCATATGCAACTGCGAGTGACGCAAGACAGGTGGAAACTAAGGAAGGGGGCTAATGAAAGGACTAAGCCGTGCGTGAGAAGGACGGAGCGACGTTGCTGATGGGGTCGCAGGGGTCAGCCGCAACGGGTTACATCTGGATGTAATCCGTCACGGTTGATCTGAACGTCTGTCGGCCCGGCCCTGGGGAGCAGCAGTGCGCGGTCTGGGGAGCAGCTGGCGGTGGTGCCTTCGGTGGAGGTCATATAGGGCCACGAAACGTTCGAGGGGTGTGCCACAATGCGCACGGTCACGAATGTGATTCCTGCCCATGGAGCATTCGCTGGAGCTCCCTAGGGGGCCGCGAAAAGTGCGAGGGGTGTGCCGAAATAGGCGCGGTCACCAAAGTGATTCCCGCCACTGGCCTTCGGCGGAGCTCCCTCATGGGGCCACGAAACGTGTGAGGGGTGTGCCGACATGGTCTGGAGAAGGCATGCGACCGCAGCCACTGGGGCCCTCGGTGGAGCTCCCCAGGCGGATACGTGCGAAGGGTATGCCGACACGGGCGCGGTCACGCATGCAAGTCCTGCCACCGGGGCAGTCATGGGAGCTCTCTATGGGGCCACGAAACCTTCGAGAGGTGTGCCGACATGGTCAGGAGGAGGCATGCGGGAGCAGCCACTGGGGCCGTCGGCGGAAGCTCCATATGAGGCCACGAAGCGGGTGAGGAATGCCCCAAAGTGGGGTGGCGGCGGCATGCGAACGCAGCCACTGGGGCCTGAGGTGGAGCTCCCTATGGGGCCACGAAGCGTTAGAGGGGTGCACCAAAATGGGGTGGCAGCGGCATGCGGGCGCAGCCACTGGGGCCTGAGGTGGAGCACCCTGTGGGGTCACAAAACGTGTGAGGGGTGCGCCAAAGTGGGGTGGCGGCGGCATGCGAACGCAGCCACTGGGGCCTTAGGTTGAGCTCCCTCTGGGGCCACGAAACGTGTGAGGGGTGCGCCAAAGTGGGGTGGCAGCGGCATGCGAACGCAGCCACTGGGGCCTGAGGTGGAGCTCCCTATGGGGGGCACGAAACGTGTGAGGGTGTGCCAGAGTGAGAGAGGTGGCGACATGCGAACGCAGCCACTGAGGCCTTAGGTGGAGCTCCTCATGGGGCCACGAAACGTGTAAGTGGTGTGCCAAAGTGAGGGGGGAGGACCTGAGGTGGAGCTCCTTTACGGGGCCACGAAACGTGCAAGGGGTGTGCAAAAATGAAAGGGTGGCGGCATGCGGGCGCAGACACTCAGCCTTAGGTGGAGCTCCCTATAGGGGCCACGAAAGGTGCCAAAATCGAAGGAGGCGGCATGCGGGCGCAGCCACTGGGGCCTTAGGTGGAGCTCCCAGTGGGACCACGAAACGTGTGAGGGGTGCGCCAAAGTGATGGGGTGGCGGCATGCGGGCGCAGCCATTCAGTCCTCGGGTGGAGCTTCCTATGGGGCCACGAAACGTGTGAGAGCTGTGCCAAAGTGAGGGGGGGCATGCGAACGCAGCCACTGGGGCCTTAGGTGGCGCTCCCTGTGGGACCACGATACGTGTGAGGGGGGTGCCAAAGTGAAGCGGTGGCGGCGTGCGGGCGCCATCACTAGGGCCTTAGGTGAAGCTCCGTGTACTGGGTGTGCATAAGTGGGCGGCATGCAGGCGCAGCCACTGGAACCTTACGTGGAGCTCTCTGTGGGGCCACGAAACGCGTGAGAGGTGTACCAGAATGAGGGGGTTGGCGGCATGCGGGCGCAGCCACTGGAGCCTTAGGTGTAGCCCCCTATAGGGGCCACGAAACGTGTGGATGATGATGATGAAGATGAAGATGAAGATGAAGATGAAGATGAAGATGAAGATGAAGATGAAGATGAAGATGAAGATGAAGATGAAGATGAAGATGAAGATGAAGATGAGGATGAAGATGAAGATGAAGATGAAGATGAAGATGAAGATGAAGATGAAGACGAAGACGAAGACGAAGATGGAGATGAAGATGGAGATGAAGATGAAGATGAAGATGAGGATGAAGATGAAGATGAAGATGAAGATGAAGATGAAGATGAAGATGAAGATGAAGATGAAGATGAAGATGAAGATGATGACGATGATGGTGATGGTGGTGATGATGATGTTGATGATTATGTTGGTGTTGATGATGATGATGATGATGGCGAAGATGATGATAATGATGACGATGGTGATGATGATGATGATGATTATGATGAAGGTGGAGATGTTGATGACGACGGTGGTGATGATGATGACGACGACGGTGACGGCGATGGTGATGATGGTGATGGTGATGATGGTCGTGGTGTTGATGATGATGGTGATGATGATGGTGATGTTGATGGTGATGGTGATGATGATGATATTGTTGATGATGGTGGTGGTGTTGTTCACGATGATGATGATGCATATGATGATGCTCGTTGTGATGATGATGCTGTTGCTGCTGCTATTGATGATGATGACGCTGATGCTGATGCAGATGCAGGTGCTGATGCTGATGCTGATGCTGGTGCTGATGCTGATGGTGATGATGGTGATGATGACGACGACGATGATGATGTTGATGCTGATGGTGATGGCGATGATGATGATGATGATGATGATGATGATGATGATGATGACAATGATGCAGATGATGGTGATGACGATGATGACGGTGATGATGATGATGATGATGATGATGATGATGATGATGTTGGTGGTGATGATGATGATGATGGTCATGATTGGAGGGCAGAGGCAGGGATTGTATGAGGAGAGTAAGGAGGAAGGACGCGTGGCGTTCACTCTTCAAAACGAGGACCCAACTCCACAGGATGGTTGGGAACTCGTCCTCCTTCTCCTGCTCCTCCTCCTCCTGCTTCTATTCGTCACCCTCCTCGGCGGGCTTGTTCCCAACATGCACAAAATGATGAGACAACTGGCGGCGGTGGGTTCACATTCCCAGAAGCCGGCTGAGGCAAATATCGAAACGCCCATGCAAAAGCTTCGTTGGGAAATCAACAAGACGCCATGAAAATTCGGAATATCCAGGGGGGGGCCTGATCGACCTACACCCGTCTAACAACTGTGTCCGACTGAGCACCAAGGATTGCAGAATAGGAGACTGCAAGAACCCATTCGATTTTCTCTAAAGTGCGAAAAAAGAAAGAACACGCGCGGGCGATACTACATCACGAAAGCATATACCAGTTTGCTTGAAAAACGCATGCTGGAACTTATGAGCGGACCGAAATTCACATCGGCTTTACTTTGCACTTAGGCCAAGAAGCACACGCACGCTAATGTTTGGCACTGACCCTACAAGGGGCACAAACCAAAACTTCTCAAATAACGATGTTATGGGCGCATTCAAGAAAAAAACCTTCCATGCGGGAACGCGTTCCCACAACTCCATGGGGAAAACCAGCTGGCACAGCTCACAGCTCTCGGAGAGAGAACAAGCCAGCAAGCGCAAAGAGATCCGCATGTTTCCCCAAAAATGGTTGCGCGCAAAAGGTCTTATATGTCAGGCGCAAGGAACGGGATGCCAGGTAGCGCCAATGTTTGGAGGTACATGACCATAGGTTGCCTCCAAGGGTTGCGCAACGGGTTGTGGCTGCGCGGCGCGGATCTGTTGGCGCAAACATACATTGCGTCCGTGCGTTGCGCAAGGGGTTACGGCCACACGCCGCTGATTCTTTCGATGCACCAATGAATTGCGCCAACGGGTTGCGGCCACTCGCCGTTGATTTTTGTGGCGCGGCCAAAAGCCTCGCCCACAGGTTGCGCCATAGGTTCTGGCAGCGCGCTGCTGGTTTTCGGCGCGGCCCTAGACTGCGCTGACGGATGGGGACTACTACTGATTTAAATTGCTTTGTGTTGCGCTGCCACGCATGGCTTCGGATTGCTTCTGCACTGACTTGCACTGCACCGCGCAAGCTGCCGCAATTCGCTGCTCGGGTTAACTCTGGCAACATCGTCTGTTTCAGCATCATGTCTTCTGGCGATTACACGCGTAAGACAGCGGATCGACTGGTGAACGGCTCCAGGACACAACCCGTCATGTCACCCTCATCTGCCTCGGAAAGGGAGCCTGCACGGCTTGCAGGCGCCCCACCGGTGCAGCGCGGAGCCCCTACTCGGGAGCTCCTGGCAGCCCAGCGCTGGCGGCGGGTCCACCGCCGGGGCCCCGCCGCGCCCGTCGCCTGGGGACCGCCAGGGGTCGCCGAGGTCGTCGTCGTCGTCGTCGTCGTCGTCCTGGTCCTCGTCCTCGACCTCGTCGTCGTCGTCGTCGTCGTCGTCGTCGTCGTCGTCGTCGTCGTCGTGGTCGCCGTTCTGGTCACGCTCGTGGTCGTGGTCGCGGTCGTCGTTGTTGTCACGGTCGCGGTGATGGCCGTCGTCGTGGCCGTCATCGTGGTCGTCGTCGTCGGCGCGGTCGTCGTCGTCGTCGTCGTCGTCGCCGCCGCCGCCGCCGCCGTCGTCGCCGCCGCCGCCGTCGTCGTCGTCTTCATCGTCGTTGTCGTCATCGTCATCGTCGTCGTCGTGGTCGCCATCGTCGTCGTCGTCATCGTGGTCGTCGTCATCCCCCTCCTCATCACCATCATCGTCGTCGCCAACAGCTGCGTCGCCCCAGAGGCCCAGAGGGGGGGAGACCGGAAAGAACCCCTTTTCCCGGTGAACTGGGTCTTTCCCCGGTAAACTGATCAATTCCCCTGTGCGAGTTCCAGAGTAGTCCAGAGGCCTCTGGAGAAATCTTGAGAGGCCTCCTTAGAAGCGTCTTGGGCCTCCGGAGAGGCGTCTTGGGCCTCTGGAGAGGCGTCTTGGGCCTCCCGAGAGGCGTCTTGGGCCTCCCGAGAAGCGTCGTGGGCCTCCCAAAGAAGCCTCTTGGGCCTCCCGAAAGGCTCACACACCGCACATACAGCAAACACACAGCACACACACACACACACACACACACACAGCACGCACACACACACACACACAGCACACACAGCACACGCAGCACAGACAGCACACACGCACACACACACACACACACACACACACACACAGCACACAGGCGCGCACACGCGCCGACTGGTCTATTCCCCGGCGTGTTTCTTCGGAAACTATATGATCACATATAAGTCCACCAGGCTGTTCTGGGTACTTTGCGGGGCGACCCCGTGTGAAACATTCGCAAAAAAAGACACCAGAAAACTGGTCCATTCCCCGGTGGCGCTGGGGAATGGACCAGTTTACCGGGGAAAGGCGGAGATGCGGGGAGACCGCCTCACAATAAACTCCGCTGTCGCGACCGCCAAGATTCAACCAGGCCCTGCCGCAGGGACCCAGTCGGGATGTTTTCTAGATGGAGGGGAGAAAACGGCGACTCAGAGGGCGACGGGGGAGAGGCAGGGAGAATGAAGCTGAGCGGAGAAGGAGGACGAGGAGGGAGGATGACGAGGCGAAAAGGCTGGAGCCGGGAGCGCTCTGCCTGCGCTCTGCGGCTCTGCTGGGCGAGGGAGCGCTCTGCCTCCTGGGGAGCCCGGCGGACGCAGTTCCAGCGCCTCGCCTAAATGCAGGAGTCGGGGCAGCGGGCGCCGTGCCGCACAGCGCGGAGGGAGTTCTCTGCCTGCCGGGGGAGGGGGGGCGCTGTGCCTGCTGGGGGAGCTGCGGGAGAAGCGGTTCCAGCGCCGTGCCCACAGCCCTCCTCGAAGTCAAGCGCAAGTTTGGAATTTTGGTCGACGCGCGAAACGCGGCCCACGGGGTCAGATGTGTGCGCTTGTAGTCGTCATTTTCGGCGCGAACATTGACATGTTGGGGCCATGGGGCGCCGCCACGTCGCGGGAAAACCTTGAGTTTGATTTCGCAGAGGGGTGTTAATGAGGGAGTCGGGGCGGAGGGGGCGGACGGAGCGCTGTGCCTGCTGGGAGGCGGGGCGCTCTGCCTCCTCCTGGGGGAGCCGCGGGGGGGGGGGGGGGCGTGGTTATCTGGTGCCGCTCATACATATAGAGCAAGTGGGGCGAAGGGGCCAGAGAGGGGGCGGACGGAGCGCTCCGAGCCTGGTAGGGGGAGAGGGGAGCTCTGCCAGGTGTGACAGCCTTGGGCGCGAATTAACGGGAGGCGACGATTGGGGGGGGAAGAGAGGTGCCCTTTTCGGGCCCGCACGGCCCCCTCTGTGGCCCTAAGGGGCCCCTTTCTGCAGCCCTCGCTGCCCCCCCCCCCCTCATTCATCGCCCCCCCCCTTACGCGCCCCCCGAGACAGCCGCGGGGGGCCTGGCTCCGGTTCCGTGCTCGAGTGCAGAAGTCGGGGCGGAGGCAACGCTGCGCGTGCTGGGGGAGGGGGCGCCCTGACTGCTGGGGGAGCTCTGCCTGTGATGAGGGGATGCGCGCTGGGGGAGGCGGAGGACCAGGGCTGACCGCGGGAGCGCCCTGCCTGCCGGGAGAGGGCGCGCTGTGCCCGCGGGGGGAAGGGGTGGAGGAGCAGGGCTGGCCACGCGGGGCGC